TCCGGTCATACAGGCGTTCGGGCCAATTGGAACAGAGTATTAAGCATGCAAGACAAAGAAGAAGAAGGCGGGCAAACACGAGGAAACCAAGAAAGAAGAAAGATACAGTTACAATCGCGCCCGCCAAAAACGACAGTTACACAAGAATAAGGGCGCGATCCAGTCAGAGCCCAGTTCTGTGTGCCGCAAGATGTGCGCGAGTGAGAAGCACGGCGCAGCAAAATTCAGAGTACCTAAATTCCTAGTTGAAGTCCTAATTGCAAAGAGGAAATTCCGACGAGCCCAAAAACAATTCCGCGAGCCAGTGGGGGCTCGACGTCAGTTGAAAATTCAAAAACAATATTCCCGCGCGATGATCGCGCCAAAAATTCCTAGTGCTCTCGGCAGAACAAGAAAGAAGCCATGGCCACCGTTGTCCGTCGCGCTCGCTAGGGCGCGGTTACCCAATCGTTGGCGCGGGACTTTCCCAACACCGACCCGACAGATTTCCACAAAAAAACAATAGGAAACGAGGGCATCCATGCAATTTGCCCGACCGACGCATCTTTCCACAGCTCATCCATCCGACCCATCCATTTCCCCAAGGCAGCTTCGCACAGAAAGTCGTGCGATTACAGAAAATAGTTCGTCACATCGGGGCAAGGTCCCACTTGCACTGATTAATTAAGAGATTCTGGGCGTTGATCTTTGCAATCTACGGTCAATATCGCTTAATTCGTGTAAGTGGGACCTTCCGTCTTTCCCGAACCGGATATGAACTGTACGCGAGCTATCTTTCCGGTTAGGTGCAGCCAAAATGAGGGTGCGTTGTGTTCGAGGAAGACAAGCCACCTGCATGTTCCCTTGCTGGGGGGTGTAGCAGCTCCAGGCATGTTCGAGCCTTGTTGAAGGCTAGAGCGTGGATGTGGCTGCTAAAGGGGGGGTTCCCCATAATAAGAATACTATACTATAATAATAATAATGACGAAAAAAAAGGGCTGAAAGGCCGTCCTGTCCAGATTTGACAGGTAATTGAATTGGTTGGGCTTAAAAAAGGTATGGAACCTATCCGGCCCGCGGGTCCGCTCATGCGCTTCACACTTTTTAAATCTTTTGCACACTTGTTTCTGACCATGGATGACGTAGATCGATGGTCAGAGGGTGTCACTGAACTCCACAACATTCTACATGTATCTGGCTTTATAATCTTTCCTGATGCGTCCCATGTTTTTGGGTCTGTCCGAAGGAACTGGTCCAGATTACACTCCAGATGCTTGCAGAATCTTAAGTACTGGAGGCCCAGAGATTGGCTGCGGCCGCGATCGAACTGCCGGATGTCTCTCCGGGTTTCTCGGGATCCCGGCCGTACGCGCGGCCGCACTCGCGCGGGGCATGCTCCCCATCCCGTCCTCGCCATTCCTCCTCCGCCGCCCCGCTGCCCCGCTGCCCCCCCTCC